TACAGCAAGCATGTCAGACTCGCAGCCCGCGGGCCGCATGCAGGCCACAACGAATATTTTTGTGACCCTGCCAATGTAACAGTATGTAAGAAATGTTTTTTTATTTTTAAAAAATATTTTTATTGATTTCAGAGAGGAAAGGAAAGGAAGAGACAGAAACATCCATGATGACAGAGAATCATTGATCGGTTGCCTCCTACACACCCCCCACTGGGGATCGAGCCAGCAACCCAGGCATGTGCCCTTGCCCGGAATCAAACCTGGGACCCTTCAGTCTGCAGGCCAACTGAGCCAAACCAGCTAAGGCTGTAAGAAACGTTTTAATAAAAATTTTGTAACTTAATTTTTACAATATCCTGTTAAACATATTATTAATAACGAACTACAATGTTCACTAATGACTGATTACTATAATCGTGTTGCATTCATTTCCCTAACGTGCCTTACGCATGCAGGCACACCATTTCTCTCCACTAATACTAGCAGCGAATATTTTAGCAGCCGATGGCCACATCATTAGTCTTGGACTGACTTGTTTGGTGTGCGCAACAGGAAATATTTTGCTTTCGGAGACCAAGAAAAAAGAGTTTACTTGCATTACGCTTATTAATTTGTGCAGTTATTCAGTGTCTGGTAAGTTAATGTTCAAGAAAAAATATTAATTTTTATTAAAATGTTCTATGATTTTATATTAACGGTGACTCATTTATTTCAGCCCTTTGTATTCAGCATGTCTCTATTGAAATAAAGCTACGTTTCTATGAAAATTGAAGCCTTTGTTTTTTTTCGGCCCACATACACTCAAACCTTGTTTATTTGGCCTGTGTTAGCTTTGAGTTTGACATGCTTGCTGTACATAAGCCTGCCTTGTACCCTCAGCCCCACCCTTAGTCTAACTCACAAACCCAGACAGTTCCTGGGTTGCACAGGTGTGGCTGAGGCCAGTATTTCCAGGAACAGCGATGCTTTGTTAGAAGCAAGGCCACGTGGGGCCTGATGCAACACCCCTGGGAGTAGGTTTCCTTCCCAAGGTGGCCCCTGGAGTGGAACCTGTAGCAGCCAGTCCCCCAGGATTGCTGCCAGCGACACCGGCTGGTGCTAGCACTCTCCTGAGGGCTTAGGCTTATGCAACTTTTTAAAAAATATATTTTATTAATTTTTTACAGGGAGGAAGGGAGAGAGATAGTTAGAAACATCGATGAGAGAGAAACATTGATCAGCTGCCTCCTGCACACCTCCCACTGGGGATGTGTCCACAACCAAGGTACATGCCCCTGACTGATATCGAACCCGGGACCCTTCAGTCCGTAGGGCGACGCTCTATCCACTGAGCCAAACCGGTTTCAGCGCAACTTTTTAAAACATATATATTTTTTTATTTCAGAGAGGAAGGAAGAAGGAAAGAGAGAGAAAAACATCAATGATGAGAGAGAATCATTGATTGTCTACCTCCAGCACGCCCCACACTGGGGATCAAGCCTGCAACCCCGGCATGTGCCCTGACCGGAACTGAACCTAGGACCTTTAGTCCATAAGCTGGTGCTCTATTCACCGAGCCAAACCAGCCAGGGCTGCAACTTTTCTTAAGATTTAATCCTTTTCTTTTTGGCCTCTATGTTCCTTAGCCTGTCTGTGTCTGGCTGGATTCTGTGCAGTCCGTAGGTAAGAGGGTGAGAAGTGGCTAAACAGCAGGGAAGGGGAGGGTCAGAGGAGGACAGCGGGTCGGGCTGTCACCGTTCCTTTAAGAAGCAGGGGCTTTCAAACTGCATCGCTTCGCAACTTAATAAATGTCTAACCCCTGAGCGGTACCACTGGAAACTAACATAATATCGAATGACAATTGTAATTGAAAAATAAAATAGCCCTGGCTGGTTTGGCTCAGTGGATAGAGCGTCGGCCTGTGGACTGAAGGGTCCCGGGTTCGATTCCGGTTAAGGGCACATGCCTGGGTTTCAGGTTCGGTCCCCAGTAGGGGGCGTGCAGGAGGCAGCCGATCAAAGATTCTCTCTCATCATGGATGTTTCTGTCTCTCCCTCTCCCTCTCATTTCCTTTCTGTATCAATAAAGATGTATTAAAAAAATAATGATACTAAAATAAAACCGGGAGTCTCAGGCAAACAAGGGCTTCACCCCAGAAGAAGGGCGTGGACCCTCCCCTAAGGACGCTCTTTGGCAGTCACACAATATGTAGGCCTTTCACTCAGCTTGACCTTTCCTTTCTGCTGGGGGTTGTGGGGGAGGGGTGTGAGCTCTGTGTCCGGGGTCCACCCCCCACCCCACCCCACCCCACCCCGGTATACCTGGCAGCCACTCCACCCCAAGCCTGTCACCTCCTGGACTCTACCTGGGAACGGGGCCTGGGACCTTCCCCTCTTCCTGCCTCATTACTCTCCACCCCTTTCCCTCTGAAGTAGAGGTCTCCCCTTCCTCCTTGCTGCTCCCCAAGACCCACCGTGTCCTCCTTCTCGCTCCCATCCTGGGGCGCGTGACTCCTGCGGTGGGATGCAGATCCCTGTCAGAACTTCCTTTTCAGGTCCTACCTTCCATCAAGGCGGTGACCTCCTCTGACCTCTTGGGGCTCTGCCCTCTGCAGCCTTGGAGCCAAGTGGGGCCAGGGAGCCAGCTGGGGTAGGTAATCCACAGTCCTGAGGCACTGGTTGGCTCCCATCGAGAACGCGCAGAGGCAGCGGCCAGTGCATCCACCCCACCTGGTGGAGGAAGAGAGATTGCAGCCCGACGCTGTGTGTACTTTGTGCAATAGCTTCCCCGCTGGGAAGAATCACTGCTTTTTGTCCGCCTGCAGACTGAAGGGTCCCAGGTTCTATTTGGGTCAAGAGTACATGCCCAGGTTTCAGGCTCCATCCCCAGCAGGGGGCGTGCAGGAGGCAGCTGATCAATGATTCTCATCATTGATGTTTCTATCTCTCTCTCCCTCTCCTTTTGTCTCTGAAATCAATACAAATATATATATTTTTTAAATTCTTTATTGATTAAGGTATTACATATGTGTCCTTATCCCCCCCATTACCCCCTGACCCCCCCCCCCCAACCACACACACACTCATGCCCTCACCCCCCTGGTGTCTGTGTCCATTGGTTGGGCCTATGTGCTTGCATACAAGTCCTTTGGTTGATCTCTCCCCCTTACTCCCACCCTCCCCTACCTTCCCTCTGAGGTTTGACAGTCTGATCGATGCTTCTCTGTCTCTGGGTCTGTTTTTGTTCATCAGAGTATGTTGTTCATTATATTCCATAAATGAGTGAGATCATGTGATATTTATCTTTCTCTGACTGGCTTATTTCACTTAGTATAATGCTTTCCAGTTCCAAATATGTATGTATGTGTGTGTGTATATATATATATATATATATATACATATACATATATATATATACACATATATATATATATTTTTTTTTAAGAATCACTACTTTTGCTACTATATTGATACAAGACAATCTTCAGTCTCATCTCTCTCGTCTTCCAAGCGCTCTGTGACCTGGTGTGGCTCAGTGGTTGAGCATCATCCCATGCACCAGCTTGACCTTTCCTAGTCACTGATTCTATTCCTGATCAGGGCACACGCCGAGATGTTTTTATCTCCCTCTCCCTTCCTCTCTCTGGAATCAATGAAAATATTTTTTTAAAAATAGAAGAGAGGGAGAAAATGGCTGCCCAGGTCCTGGGCTCAGGGGTGACTCAGCACTCAATTTGCTGCCACCTCTCCTGGCCCCTCTTCTCCCCCTACCCTCTCCCCAGATTCCACTCGTCCGCACCTTCTCCCGCTCCTCAGCACGGGTGAGTGTCTGTATCCGAAATGTCCTATGAACAGGGTTCAGTGAAAACAAACACACAAACGCCGGCCACAGAAACGGGGAAGGCTGAGTCTCTGGGAGCTCCTCTCCCACCTGCACTGCATGGTCCGGTCAGCGCTTCAGGCTGCCCGCTCTAGGCTCAGTCCTCCGTAATTACGGAAACCAGATCTCAAATCCCCTGGCGCCAACAATCCCTTGAATCTCCTTTTCACAGTCAGGGGCTGTGCCTGTCCCAAGGGACGCAGCTGGGTGCTGCACGGTCTCCCTCTGACCCTCTGGGCTCAGAGGTCTGGCAAACTTTCCTGCCCAGATCCCTGGTTTTTACCTTTCCAGGGGAACTCTGCCCTTCCCGGCTGCAAACTGTCTCACCAGCTGAGTCTCCTTCGCCAATTCAGGGGTGGGTGTTATTAGTTTCAGCTGCTCACTCCTTTTGCTCTGGGACAAGCCCTGGGACGCATCTGCCTATTCCTCGCCATCTTGTCTCTCCTAGTTATTCCTGAACAGAGACTGGCTGACTCCCTCACGTCTCTCAGGTCTCAACACCACCATACCTTTCCGTGGGGTGGGGAGAAATTTGAGTCCCGCTCCCCTCCCCCCTCCCCCCCACAACTCACCCTGCCCCTTTCTAACCCTTCCTAGCTTTGTTTGGCTCCAGGTGACACAGGTCACCCAGGAAGGCACTCTCTTTTGCATAGTTATCTTGTTGAGCGTAGTCTCCCTGAACCAGTCAACTTGGGGGCCAGGGATTATTGTCTGTTGGGTTCGCTGCAGTGTCCCCAGTGCTTAGAACAGTACCTGGTGCACCATAGGCACGCAATAGAGATTTGCCCAGTGAATTTTTATTATTTACTGAAAGAGTCCAAGATACTGTTAGGGACACAGTGAGAAACGTAGCCCCTACCATTTTCTCCCTCCTGGGTGTTTGTGGGGGTGCTGTGCCTCAGTTTCAGCAACCCCCCAAAAGGGATCTGAAGTCGCTGTTCCTATGCTGGCCGCTTGAGCTTCCGTGCCCTTAGGTGTAGTCCTTCAGCCAATCCCCGTGGGCAAGGCTCAGACTGAGTTTGGCCTCCAGCCAGGTGCCTGCAGGCGCCCCTTCTGCTCCCATCAGGCCCCGCCCCGGTGGGCGGAGCCACGGCCAGGGCAGCACGTATAAAAGTTCGAGGCCAGGCGCCTCAGTCACTCACATGAGCATCGCAGCCCAAGCGCACACACCTCGCGCACCTTCCGCCCGCCAGCTCTCAGGATTGTCCGCACCGCGACCCAGGTCCCACCGCGAGGCCGGCTGCATGCCCCGCCGAGTCGACCCCGAGTCTGCCGCCCACACCGACGACGAGATAGAGATGGGGGACCTGGTCATCAACGTGAAGCCCGAGCCACATCCGTGGCCCCTACAGGCCGCGGGGCTGCAGCAGCGTTCCCCAAAGGAGGTGCCCGCGCCCGGCAGGGGCAGCCTCGAGGGCGCACCCCGCTCGTGCCCTATCCTGGCGCCCGCCGCCGCCCGTACCATCCTCGCCCTCGACTTGCAGAACCAGTCGGCGCCGTGGACTTCTCTGGTCCCTAATCCTCACGACCGCCAGCCCTGGACTGACAAACACCCGGATACCTTGACCTGCGGCCTCTGCCTGCAGACCTTCCCGCTGGAGGCCATCAAGGCTTTCATGGACCACAAGCAGCAGGGCTGTCCGCCCTCTGGAGGGCCCAGCCCTGGCCCGGACTCAGAACTTGAGAACCTGAAGGCTTTGACTTGCCTCCGCTGTGGCCGACCAGTCACCGAGGCCTGGGAACTGCTGGGCCATGCGCAGTGGGACCATGGACTGTCCATCTACTGGACGGGATCCGAGGCCCCAGAGACTCCGCTGCTGGGCCTGGCAGAGGTGGCTGCAGCCAGGTCAGCAGTGGTGGGGCAGGAAGTGGAGGCCAAGGGCTCCCGGGCGAACAGGAGCCCCACCTGCCCCGTGTGCAGGAAGACCCTCAGCACCTTCGGCAGCCTCAAGGTGCACATGCGCTCGCACACGGGCCAGCGGCCCTACGCCTGTGACCAGTGTCCTTTCGCCTGTGCCCACAGCAGCAGCTGACTGTGCACCGGCGCTCACACACCCGGGAGCGGCCCTATACCTGCGACCTCTGCTCCTTTGCCTGTGTCCAGAGGAGCAAGCTTAGCCGCCGCATACACGGCCTGGTGCCCCCACTGCCGTGTGCCCTTCCGCCTGCGGGCCACCCGGGACGGACACCTGTGGCAGAAGCACCCCCAAGCGGGTGGGGAGGCCCGAGTGGCAGGAATGCCCTTCCCCCCTGCTGTTCCTGGTACCACTACTCAAGTATCTGTTGATCACGTCCTGCTGTGAATGAATCCTCCCTCCCTCATTCCCTTCCTCTAGTTTTAAAATATTTAAAAAAATAAAATAAAAAACAAATAGGAGACTGGAGCTCCCTCCCTCCCTGCCACCTGAGGTGTCTCTCTGAAAACACGGAGGAGTGCCCTCACAGGCACTGAGCTAGCTAGCACCTTGATCTTGGCCTTGTTGTTTTAGCAACCGAGTTCGTGGTATCCTGTGACTCAGCCCCCTGGTGGTCAGTGCGCTCCCACAGCCGGAGCCCAGAAGCCGGGCTCATGGCTGGTGAGCACAGCAGTGGTGGCGGTAGCCTCTCCTGCCTCTGCGGCAGCGGCGGTAAGGAGCAAGCAGCAAGGGAGCAAGCCGCGAGTGGTTTAAAGCACCGAGCGCTGAGCGCCGAGCCCAGCTCCGGCTCTTCCCCGGCTGCCTGCCACTTTGTGCACTGCTACATACCCCGGGGGGCCCCGGATTGGAGAGGGCACAGTCCAGGTTGAGGGGGACCCCCCCCATGCATGAATCCATGCACTGGGCCTCTAGTGTATGTATATATATATAAAAAAGAAAGAGCACATCCCACTTTCTGGGCCTTAAAGGTTGGTCTAGGGGAGGCACATGACTCTGGAGAATCAATCACACTCTTGGAGTTCTGCTCTTTTTTTCCTTTTCAATTGGCTGTCAGGGACGTGAACTACCATGCGAGTCCATGATTTTCTGATGGCCATGAGCTCAGCCTGATGGAGAAAGCCAACTCAGTGGAAGGTCCCCGTGCAGAAAGACACACAACGAAAAGCACAGAGTGCTGCAGCCGTGGAGCTCCTGGGTCCCGTGGCCTGCAGCTGCTGCTCTGCCCTCCCTGCTGACACGCAGCAGCCCATTCATGCCTCTCCTCCTAAGCCCTCTGATGGAAACTTCCAGAAGGAGGGCCTTCTGAAAACCAGCCACTAGACTGTCTCTCACCTGGTTCTCTTCCTACAGAGATGATGCTGGTCCCAGCCTCTGACTTTGGCTCAAAGCAGCTGACATCGCAATAACATCAGGCCCCAAGCCCAAACACGAGAGAGGAGAGGAGATGAGAGATATTTGCCCCGGGCGCACTGCCGAAGAAAAAATCCCCTGGAAAGCTGCGTGCTTTAATACAGTTTATTTCTCCTCTAATTGAGGTACTGACTTTTAAAAACAAAATAGTTTGGTTAGAGTATGAGTGAGTGATGTCTCTAGAAGCAGAAAAGAATCTTATTGTGAAACTAAGTTTCAGGAGATAAAAGCAATCTTTAGTTTATAAAGTGAGTTTCCTGTCCCATCCCTGAATGGCTTGTCTTTTTTCTTAGAAAGAAAACAAAACAAAACATAATTTTGCTTGGGGGGAAACATGTCCTCTGTCGGTTGAAGCTGAGTGACAGAAGCAGCCTACATTATGGCTCCTCAAGCCCCACCAAGCTCCGTCACCGTGGTCTGAGCACCTGCAGGCACTGGACACATGGTGTTGAGTGACATCTAGGAGAGTTTGTAGCATTCCGTGTAGGGGGACCCTGACCTAAGTACACTGGACGTTTAAAGCCCATGTGCCACACGCTTGTGCAAAGCATTGACACAGCAGTTTTACTGTATGCCAAGCATGTCAAACTCTCGGCCCACGGGCTGCATGCAGCCCATAACGAATATTTTTGCAGCCCAGCCAATATAACGGTATGTAAGAAACGTTTTAATAAAAATTTCGTAACTTAATTTTTACAATATCCTGTTATACATAATTATTAATAACGAACTACAACGCTCGCTAATGACAGATTACTATAATCATGTTGCATTCATTTCCCTAACGCGCCTTACGCGCAGGTGCACCATTTCTCTCCACTAATACTAGCAGCGGATATTTTAGCAGCTGATTGCCATGTCATTAGTCTTGGACCGACTTGTTTGGTGTGCGCAACAAAATATTTTGCTTTCGGAGAACAAGAAAAAATAGGTTTATGTGCGTTACGCTTATTTGTGCAGTTATTCAGTGTCTGGTAAGTTAATGTTCAAGAAAAAATATTAATTTTTATTAAACTGTTCTATGATTTTATGTTAATGGTGACTCATTTATTTCAGCCTTTTGTATTCAGCATGTGTCTATCGAAATAAGCTCACGTTTCTATGAAAATTGAAGCTTTGTTTTTTTGTGACCCACATATACTTAAACCTTGTTTATTTGGCCCGTGTGAGCCTTTGAGTTTGACATGCCTGCTGTATGCACTGCACAGGCATACCTTTCTACAACCCAAATATTGATACCACTCTTTAGCAAGAAGCCTCTTTTGTCTGAGTTGATATAAAACTGTGTTGCTGACCAGCCGGTGCATGGCTGCTTTGTGGGACTACTTTGAAAACAACTTTGTCTGATGACTCCTGTATCTGCAATGACTGCTTGGTCTACAGTAAAGTCTCTCCTATATGCCTGGGGCTCCTCATGTCTTCCAATTCCCAGCGTCCACGGAGGTCCAGGCCCTAGCAGAGGGGCTGTGACCCGACATTGTTCCATTCCCATGAGCAGCCTTGACCTGTCGGCTATTGCCGATCTTGTAGATGAGAACTAAGGCGTCCCATCTTGAAAAGATATATGTCCACATGGAGAGAAATCAGATAGCAACATAACCTGTATAAGGATTTAAAATCGGTTCCAAATAGTCCTTATGGGATTATCTTTTCCTTGTTCTTTTCTGCTCTGAACATGATTGGCAAGGCTTGGCCGGTGGGAGAGTTGCTGGTTGAGGAGTGGGCAGTGTTCTCCTAGTGCCACCTTCCTGCTATTGAGGATCTGATTGGTTTGAGTCCACATTGTGGGCGAGGCCACTATAACAGATTATGCATAGCAGATCAGCCTCTTTTCTATTTCCTGCTTCTGTGAGCCTGAGGCATGGAGCCAATAGGATAGGACCCTTCTTTCTTGCTTGCTCTCTCTGGTGTTCTCCTGTTGTTACCAGGAACACCCCACCTCCTCTCCCCCCCCCCCCCACCCCACCCCGCTGTGTCCAATAACAAATCACATAAGGTGTTTATTGAGAAGGCCAGCCAACCAAGAAGACAGGGTGCTTACAAGCATTCAAATCCTGTCTTACAGCAAGGTGCAGGGGACAGGACTGTAAAGGGGAAGGGGCTGGGGTGAGGCTGGGACCAGAGTGCAGCTATGGGTGGCCCTGGGGGTCCGCAGACATCAGCTATTGCCCTTAGCCATCAGGCAATGAGATGATGTTGATGAGATGATGTTTTGACTCGTGGTGGGTCAGTCTGACCTTGCTCATCGGTTCTGCTTGCTGGATTCACAGCTGAGTCACTTCCTTAACCGCTTTGCACAGGCCTTGAAAAAAAAAACTTAAGAAAAACTTAACTCCCTATTCACATATAAGAAACTTGACTCCCTAGTCACATAAGTATATGTGTTCTAAGATTTAAAATAATATGATTATTTTTTCAGATTAATTCACGTGCTCTATCAGATTATAAGTCCCTCTATCACTGTCATGAAGCGAAATTGGATAACTTTGCAGTTTGGCCACCTGGCTCTCTCTCTCTCTCTCTCTCTCCTTGTCTCTTCACATGTGTATCAGGACTCTCCTCTCTTAGGTCTTGGTGGCCAGTGGGTGGTATATTTTAGATGTGGACTTTGTCAACAGGAGTGGCCCGGGGATGCCAGAACAGGCGGTGGGCCCCTGGTTAATAATACCTCATTTCCTATTTGTTCATCTGGAACCCCACAGGAAAGGGGTCAGACCGTCTGTCTTGCTTTCCTTGTCACCGGTGGCAGGGTGTGTGCACCAGAGATCCCGAATAGGGACATACACAAGATCGACATTGTTCCTCTCTCACACGAGGTCTGCCCTATCAGGGCAGCCTTGCTCTACAAAGACATCACGGGCCCAGGCTCCTTCTAACTCATGGCTGCCCCATCCCCAGGGCGTTGTTACCTTTGTCTCCATGGTCCAAGTGGGCTCACCTTCTCATTTGTATTCCAACTGGCACGGAGCAGAACTGTGAAATGGACCTGGGACATGGAGGGTGAGTCCCTTTGCCTGACTGCAGCCTGTGGGCTGGACACCTGTTTCTGTAAACTCAGTTTTACTGGAGCATAGCCTCTCTCATTTGCTTAAGTATTGTCTAAGTTGAGTAGTTGCAACAGAGATAACATAATATGGCTAACAAAAACCTAAAATATTTACTTTCTAGCTCTTTAAGGCAAGATCCTTCATTAAAGGCAAGATCCAGAGGCTGTTTACTTCTGCTCACACTCCATTGACTAGACCTTAGTCACGTGGACACACCTAGCTGCAAGGCAGGCTGGGAAGTGTAGTCTTTATGCTAGGTGGCCAGTGGCCCATCTGTATACGATCAGTTATTTCTAGGAGGGAAAAAGGGAGAGTGACTTTTGCAGGACAACCAGTTATCTTCCCTATTCTGGATCATGTATCCTTTGGCCAGATTTTGTGCCTGTTATTTTTTTTTAATATATTTTGATTGATTTCAGAGAGGAAGGGAGAGGGAGAGATAGAAACATCAATGATGAGAGAGAATCATTGATTGGCTGCCTCCTGCAAGTCCCCTACTGGGGATCAAGCGCACAATCTGGGCATGTGCCCTTGACTGGAATTGAACCCAGGACCCTTCAATCCGCAAACCAACACTTGTGTCCACTGAGCCAAACCAGCTGGGGCGGTGCCTGTTATTTTAAAATTCTGAGTTTATAAGCCAGGTTCCTGTGTGCATTT